ATAAAACGTAATAAAAATAAACCCTCGATGCGCAAAAAATAATACATCCAATATTTGTTTAGTCACCAAGCTATTATAATAGCGATCTAATAAAAGCAATGACGAATAAGAGTTGGCGCACATTTTCAAATGACATCTCATTTATAATCCGCTTGGATAGAGTACGATCTGCATTGCGACGAGAGTATATATGTCAAAGAGAACTCGTGATACTTTTTTTTGCACGATAATGATAAGAATAAGTCCAGATTAAATAAGGGTGATAGAGAAGAAAGCAGAATACTTCAATAATGGTTCGCGAAAATGATTTTGAAAAAATAGAAGCACGATGCAAATTGATGCGCGGCGACGAGCGAAGAAGATGAAGGAGAGACGGAGAGTGAACGCAAATAAATAATGTAAAATAAGTTTCATCTGGAAACAAATCGATTCGTGCACAGGTTATATCACAAAAACAGGCTTCATGCACGCATCCCCGCAATTGAATTTCGACGAGAATAATGGGCGATCGACAAATTTACAGAGTAGCGGTACATCGCCCTCGTTGCGCAATTATATTTTTACATTGTGCGTTTTACATATGCTTTACACTTAATTAATGAATGGCTACGTGCCACGATAACAAGGGACGCGTGCCCTTTTTTTTCGGCATGCGCGACGTCCCGTGAAAACGAAAGAAAAAAAACTCTGGCGACACTTTGAACTTGATTGAGAAGAACACAGTGGAATACAATTACTTTAATCGTATAACGCGTACGAGTGAAAAGGAAAGAGAAGCATTGCGTTAATTGTCGGCATCGAAATATCGCGAATTAATGTCGAGATCGATTTTGCACGCAAAAAATAAAATGCTCTTGATATAATCGTGGAAGAAAATTTGACAAGACGCGACAAAATGCAAATAAGACTGTCCATAATATTCTTTTCCTATACTGCTAACGAGCTGAATAAAAAGCGATATGAGCATAGGTGATAAATGTTAAAGAAAAACTAAGATCTATCTATTTGCTCCTTCTCCCCTCCCGCCCAAATGAAAGAGGAACGTACTCATACCGGCCGTGCTAAGATGCAAGAAGAAGTGTTGGTTGGACCGGCGCAAAAATAGGTTTCACGCTCGTACCGGTAATTGAATTTCGAGGAGGATAATGGGCGGCCGACAAATACGCGCGGTCGCGTTAGATCGCTTTCGATGTATGGCGCGCGGGCATTCAGCCAGGCCAGGATGGATCCTTGATGGCTAGATTTAAAAAACCGTCCCCGTTTGCCACCCTCCCCCCGTCCCGCGCGACCCGTTCTCCGCGATATAGCCGTCGCCATGTGTTACGAGGGGGAGGGGGGTGGCGGCGCTTCGTAATGGTGGTATCGGCGATGGTAGTGGTGGCGGTCCAGTCGGCGGTCTCTATATAACTGATGGTGCTTCTGAGTGTCAGGGCCAGGCTGTCCACTTCTTTGCGTACACGTGTGTGCGTGCGTGTATGCATGTTCAGGCGATTTGCACGTTGGCCGGTTTCTCCAAGTACAGCTAGCGTACGAATCGTGTGCAGAGTGTCGCAGGTCCCCCCTGGATGCTTTCTTTCGCATTCTCATCCCGATTTAAAGCAAACTTATCGCGATGAAAATATCGCGAGACAAACAGCAACTGGAGCCTTTAAGAATTAAAACAAACAATAATATCTTCGATTTTTATCTAAATCTAAATTAAGTCTCCTTTAACAAAGAATCATAATTTCTAAACAAAGGCCTAGTTTACACCGATCTCTTGATACGCGTATCAAATGGTATATTTAAGCTGATCAGCCAATAATCAAACTAATTTACTAGTTATTTACTATTTAATATCAAGTGATTGGTGTAAACTAGGGCATAGAAAATTATATATAATTCTTATATAGTTGAGTATTGCAAGAGCTAATTAAAATTATCACTGAATCAAATTTCCGCTAAGAAAGATCGGCATTATTCTGGGAAAAGAATAAAAGATTAATCAATAAATGAAAGTATGGATAATTTAAAATACTTCATATAAAGCAAGATAAGAGATATAAATTTACTATATCATATATCTATAGCAAGAGTTACGCTGCTATTTATAACAAGAGATAATATGTTCCAGATTTCAGTAGCCGGTGTTTATCAATAATAGAATGTTTTACCATTAAGGAAAGCTTTCTCGATAAGATTTTATCGTGCTTGAGATAAGTGTCATAAATAAAAGATAAGACGGTTTTAAAAACACATATACATACTACTAAAAATAAAGATTAGCCTCTTGACGTATTAATTTAACTCCTAGCCTACAAAGAAGGAAACTCGATATATGTTCGTTGTGTAAATTCCATACTCAATTAATTGATAGTGTAGAAAAAATTGTCAATTTTCTGTCAAAGTTTTGCTATCTGCTCGCTTAATCAAATTTCGTCTGATCAAACGTTTAGTTTTCTCCGATTGTCTTTTGATAGGTCACTTTCAATGAAGCATTCTTTCTGAAATTCATTTCTCGCGACTTCAAACATGTGTCCTATATCAATCACGAGTTGTTAATTAACATTCAAAGACCGATCAGCTTCCGAGGCAAGAACTTCATCTGCTCGGCAAACGCGTCTGCCTTATCGAAGTTATTTTCACTCGAAGCTCTGCGGCGCTCGTTGTCGCGTGTTTCCACGGGATTACCCCGTTAAGCGGTGCAAGTAGAACTCCGGCTTCATCGATGATATTGAAAAGGAAGGTGGGAAAAACGTAGTCGGCGCGCGCGGTAGAGGGCGAAAATAAAAGAAAACGCAGTCGGTGCGACGAGTCAATTAAGGTCGATCGAGGAATCGTCCTCCGCCTATCGCGCGTACACGTACATAGATGTCCACATACACACGCATACACATTTATATATATACGACGGATCTATTGAACGGCTGGCGAGAGCGAACACGTCGAGCGTGAATTGAACGAGTGCGAAAGAGAGGCCGGAAGCTCGCGCTGGCAAGAGGGAAGGCGCAACGGGGATATCCGAGGTCAAACGTTAATACGCGTATACAGGAACGAGTGAAGGAACGATGCCAGGTCCAATCCTCCTGACAATAATCGGATTGATTAAAAGTCGCCGTCGTTCACCACCGCGCAAACCGCCGCAACCGTTCGTATACGCGAACACGGGCGATCGCGGGCGAGCGCGGGGTGTGCGAGCGATTTATAGGCGCGTTTTATATGTGCTCCATATACGTGTATTCACGGCGGACCGTGTATTGCACGACGTACGTGAAATCGCGTTCGCGTCGCGGGCACGCCCGGCGCTGAAAAGCGCCTCGTCGCCACGTTCGCCGTTAATGAGCTCGTAATTGCGCGCAGCCAGATTGTACTTTCGCAACGTGCGACGCGCGTGAGGTAAAAATCGGCGAGAATCGTCTTCAGTGAAAGAAATGTACAATCGAGAGGGATTTCGACTAACCCTGTGCGACTTGGAAGCGACTGTACGCGTATTAACAATGATAGTGATCATGGGAGCTAATTTAGAGACCTATCTCACTGCTATCTCTTCCTCTGTCGCGCACGGAGAGAAAAGCGTTCGGCAATCTCGTAATTATTCAGCAGGAGACGCGGCTGTATCAAAGCGGCGCTCTAATTCCATTAGGACCGAGTAAGATAACTCATGATTACGGCGGGTTTGAAAGGCGGCTGCGAGAGGACGAAAGAGAGCCCGGGGGCAGGGAGTTCGCCTCGAGTCAAGGCGGCGCGGATCGATATTTTTGACTGCAATTTAGTCTGCATTTAATCAACGTTTAATCACCTCATCAACGGGCCAAGTTAATCCGAGCGAGCTACCTACCGCTGCAGCCGCTTCTATGTATGCCCTAGCACGACGACGCCATGTTTAAACTCATCATTATTCGGCGCACTAATAGAGCCGCACCGAGGAAAATTCTCTCGGGATTCTGACTCGCGTAAAAAGGTGAACGAGCCGCGCTGAATAGCGATCGAAGGCTGAAAGGCTGCATGTCCAAACCGGTGCGCCGGAGAATTGAAAGAACGTTATATTTTATGAAGCTCTATTTGCAGTAAATTGTGAAATAAAATAGTAACTCGAAGTATATGTAAACGTTTCATTTTATTCGGATATTCAGTATCGAATGTTATGCAAATCGCATCCTGAAGATTCCGCAAAATTATTAAAAATACGATGAAAAATCATTATTTACGTTTTTGAATATCAAAATTTGTCATTTATTACAAGTATAATTTACGTAAAATCCGAAAGTCTACGTTGGTATTTTTTTCCCCTTGATTACTGTAAAACGTTTAATACGTTATTACGCTAATATTGCCGGAAGAATCCCAGGTACTAACAATAGTAAAACTGGTAGACCGTCCTTTTAATTGTGTAAAGAAATTAACGCAGTAAAGTCCGCTTCGCATTTAGCCCTTTATGGGCCACAGAGTCGTTTCGAAGGTCTAAATTACCAAGGGCCGGTCCTTCGAGTTCAGGGCCGACCCCCGTCTCAAACCGGGGTTCTCCATTCCCTTCAGTCCCTTAACGCCCAACGCGGCTGCCGACCTCTATAAATTCCCTCAGGATTTTTCTTTTCTCTACTTGCCTTAATTAAAGCCCTCCCTCGCTAGCCGTATTACTACGCCTATGGACCCACCCTTTCCCGTCACGTTCACCCCTAGCTATGACATTTCCACACCGGACAGGTACATGACTCTGACTAAATGTCAGACAGTACGAAGGATGTCGAGCCTTTTAAAATTACGTAACGATTACGTTACACGGAAAGACACTTGCATCGCGTTTTAGTCTGTCACTCATGGAAAGCATAACTTTGTCAAATGCCTTGAAAGAAAGTTTTATTCACATAGCGAGAAATAGAGTATAAACGAAAATCATGTAAATAAAAATCATATGTACGTTTGATATGATCATGACTTTAACAGAAAAGAACTTGGATTTCTTTTAGGAATAACTTATTAATTTCTTATTAATTTTGAACAAACACAATGTTGCAAATTAAAGACTTGCATATTGCTTCCACATCATTTTATTTAGCTTATAAAGTTTCCTAGAGAAGGAAGCCAATTCATTACATGCTAATAATTTAAGAAATTTCTTAGAGAGAAAAATTTATGAGCTAAAAAAAACGGGCACAGTGACGACTGTGCCGCAAACAACACCGTAGAACTACGTCAACTGTCACTATTTCATGTTAAAGTATTCAGCGAAGGAAAGTAGACGTAGGGCTACGTCAACTGTCTTTCGCTGAATAATAGTGACAGTTGACGGAGCCCTACGTCTACATTCCTTCGCTGAATATCTGGGTGCAGAATCTTCGCTGACGGCTGATCATCTAGTCTGGCCGATCCTTCAAGATCGCTCTCCAGGCGCTCATCAGCGCCGCATCGCGAGCGGCCCTCTCGCGAACGGGGACGACGGATTGGTATTTAGGTAGTAGGTATCGTGGGCGCTGAAGAGCGGCTTGTGACCGCCCATGATGGATGTGTGCGAGTTTTTGCACAGGCCCGTTATAAATCGATGGAAACTAGTGCACCTCTTCCCGTAGAATCCTACCTCGCTGTTGATAGACTCGGCGAAGTACTTGAACGCGAGATCATGGGAACACGCGCCGGCGGGATCCACTCGACAGCCAGGCTGCCTTTTGCCGCCGTTGGGATAATAATCGACATCTCCGATGGCTGTCAAGAAACCGAGGCGACCACCGTTAGTATGAATAATCTCCACGTACTTCGCATCGCCGACCGATATCCTGGATCCTGGACCGGCTCGACTAAAGCCGGGTAAAGCTGGATCTAGTCCTGGAACGATAAATTTGCGCCATGTCAATTAATAATTGTAATTAATTAATCAGATCGACATAATCGACTTTTATATTCGATGAAAGAAACGAGCAATGACGACGTTCGATCAATATATGTGAAAAAGAAGATGAAAAGCGAATCGCAAAACTATCTGAACTAACATACGCATCTAATGCGTATCAAACATGAAAGATAAATGCGAACTTCTTAAAAATTTGATAAGTCTCAAAGAGAGGAGTGCCGCGACTGCGAAAAGTAATGACGGATTAATATTAAAAATGTACTATCTTTTCTCTACATGAAGAAAAGGGAGAAATAAAATTCTCTTAATCGGTTATATAATCTTCAATCTCTGTGAGATTTAATGACGCTTGATAAAAAGAAAGGCTTCTTATCTGTTCAAAAATTTAAGACTAATCAGAATATTAAAAATGTAAGATATATTTTTCGTAGCGTCAAATGTCTTTGTCGAATATAAATGCTATTAGGTGTAAAATATTGAAAACTTACCCACGACATAACTGATATCGCTGTCAGCGTTGCGAGCAGCGATTCCAACTATATGGGCACCAAGAGAGTGGCCGACCAGTACGGTGTGCGACAAATCCATTCCATGCTTCACGAGAAAATTGATCATAGTGGCGACGAATTGACCGATCAGCGGGACACGCTTGCTGGCCCAAACATAGGGCCTCCTACTTATTGACCTCCAGTCGATGACGATCACGTTGTAATCTTTATGCCCAAGATAAGCTGCATAAAAAACAACAGACATTAGCATAATAAGATATTCCAACAGAAGAAATGAAATCGTCTTCTGATTTAATCATGAATTGTATTCTTTTATATAAAATAAAGTAGTGTTCTATATTTCGAATTTCTATTAATAATTATCTTAAATTGCAAAACGTTATAGAATATTTCCACGCTACATGATAAATGTTTACATACCGTCGCGAACTAAAGTGCATGCTGCGCTTTTGCGAGAATTCGTCCATCCGTGAGTTATAAAACGCGTTGGTTTCGCAGGATCGAAGTTGCTGTTCTTTAGAGCAGCCTCGTCATTGACGTAGAGTTGCTTCGGATCGTTAACATTGTCTTTATTATACAGATAGAATAAGACACGGCTTGCGATATCGCCGTCGTCTCCATCTTCGTCGTTCCCGGCGTCGTCCAATGTTAGCTTCACCAAGTTCTCGTTGTCGTCGTATACGTACATTACTTTATCTTGAAATAATTCGTAATCCAGTGAAGTAAAAATATCGTCAGGAACCACCTGCTCTTTCACTGGAAGCCCTGCACAATCAGGATACAAGAAACTCGTACATCGCATAATACAAAATGAAAAAAAAAATATATATATAGGAAGAATATATGTTAAATAAAACAATAATATTAACGATTGTTTTTCTATTTGAATCTTAAAAAGTTAATGTGCGAGTCTAGAATTGTCAACAAATTCATCTTTTTTTACAGATAAACATGCAAATATTATTTTTACCAGCAACGGTGCAGGCAAGCAAGGCACCAATTAGAACGCGTATCTCCATGCTTAATTGTTGTTAACACTGCAGAACATTCAACTGCTTTTAAAGCGCCTGACTTTTGTCGGTATACTTATATACCATTTTAACGATAAGATAAATTTCTTTTGCAGTTATACTGTAACTATAATCAATTATTTGATAATATCTGAGATGTCCTGTTCAGATTACAATAATCGATATTTACGCAAATTTATCGAAATCTTGAATTTCATACATTTTGTTAAAATACGCATTGCATTTTTAATCTTTAGAAATTAATATGATTTAAT